CCCCGCGCGCCTTGCCTCCTGCGCCTGAGCCGGAGCACCCAAAGAGACAGGCTCCGGCGCGCGCGCGTTGGTCATCTTTTGCATGAGCGCGCGGTTGAGCGACTCGAAACGGCCGAGGAAGACGGAGGAGTGCGTTTTGAATTTCAGGCACTGTGCACGGGGTGAGTGCGAGATCAATATGAGGGAGGAGAGAGGAGAGGAGAGAGAGGGAGGGGGGAGAAGAACGCACGGTAACATCGTCCGTGATCTTGAGCACCAGCTGTCCCTCCTTCGCGTTCCACTTTATACTATACCTCGCCTACAATCCGCACCCACACAGAGTCAGATCACAGCCCCGATTGTGAGTCGAGGAGGGAGGCGGCGCACCTTGTTGGGCGACTTGGTGTACAGGGATTCGGCGGCGGACTGGTATTCATGCCATGAGTTTATGTAGACCATCGCGGTCGTTGAGGGGCATTGAGTCGAGCGTCGGCTGGTGGTGGGTGCGCGACGCTGGGATGAGAGATGAGGTGAGGGTGGGGTGGGTGGAGGAGGCGAGGGGTGTGCCGCTGTGCGCGCGTGCGTTCGGCCCGGGCGGCCGAGTAGCGGAATGGGCTCGACGGAGCGTGAGATCTCTTGGTTCTGACCACCATGCTCGGGGTCGATCTGCAGACGACGTCGTACAGACTGACAGCGCCTATGCCTGCTCTCCCGCCATATCACTCAGCTACCGCCTGCGATCCTGGCTTGCATAGCTCGGGAGAAAAGCGGGCAGCCCACTGCAGCGCGGTCACATGAGAGGCGCGCGACGCGCCCCGGCGACGCGATCGCGCAGGAACCCTCTACACCGCGAGCGGAATGTTATCATCGGGCGTCGGCGTCGGCGTCGGCATAGATGCTTGCGCTCGTAGTCGGAGTTGCAGGGATACCCGTCCGTCGAGGCACATCAGTGCTCAATATACTGTCGACCGGCTGTGCCGGTCCGGCGGCGATGAGCGCTTCGCCCGCTCGACTCAGCGCGTTGCTCTCGACCGTCACCATCCATGTTTCACGAAGAAACAGACAGTAAAGCGTACAGACAGTCAGCAGAGTAAGCGGCCGCAGATACCTCTTACCCTTCTCGCTCTCTCATGCTATGTATTCACAGCGATGCCTGGTCCGCGTTCATCAAAACGCGTTTTGGCGCCGGTCCTCTCGGGCGCTCCGGTCGCGCCGCTAGGCTTCCACAGCTCAAGTTGGAGCTCGAGACTATGCAGAAATACTTCGCTGTTGCCAAACAGCATATGAACGCCTGCACCGGCGCGGGATGTCTGCCGGCGGAAATCTTGTCGACTATATTCGCGTTCGCGCAGGAGGTGTGGCCGCCTCATAACAGGCGTCGAATGCACGAAGAAGATAGGATGCGCGTCGTAGTGTCGTATGATCTTGGGTGGATATACGCCACGCACGTCTGTGCTGCGTGGAGAAAGGTCAGCATACAACAGTTATCTGATCACGCGTGTCACTCATACTACACTTCAAGGCCGCGCTAGGAGACCCCGCTTTATGGCAAACTGTCTCGTGCCTCGCCCTACCGCTTCCAATGGCTACGGACATGCTCACCCGCTCCGGTCGCCTCCCCCTCGAAGTCTACATCGGAGACGGCATCAGCAGCATTTCCGACGACTGCATCTCCAATTGGCTGTCCTGGCCCGTTCTGCGCCGCACCTCACTTCTACACGTCGACGACTCGCGCGTTGACGAAGACGATATGTACGAGCGATGGAATTCGGTTCTCACGCAGCCGATGCCTCTTCTCGAGGACTTGACCGTCTCGTTTTACTTGGACGCAAGCGCGACGATCCTTCCCTCCTCTATATGGACCGAGTCGCATCCCACCTTGAAAAGCCTCATCTTGACAAACTGCTACCTCCCGGATTGGAACACGCAAGTGCTGGGCCATTCCATCACCAACCTCCTGTTAAATCTGGACTTCTTGTTCGAGGAGGACGAAGGGCTACCGACCACAACGGAGCTGCGCGACATGTTCTCCCGCTTAACCTCGCTCAAGACCCTCGACCTCCGCAACTTCTGGCCTCAGAAAGAGAACAGTCCTCCCGAGCCATTCAACTTTTATCCATGCCTGGAGACGTTCGCCTTCGAGTTCTCGATGAGAGGGCTGTTTGCGTCGCACTACAGCTACTTCTGGTCTTTATTCAGGGTGCCGTCCACCACCGCACTGGACATAGTCGCCGAAGACGACGTGAGCGAAGACACCGAAGACCATCCCGAACTTCTGGATCCCATCACGCAAGTCGACAATTCCCGCTTCCCGGCGACAGCGCTGGTCATAAGCGGCCTCCAAGTCAAGCTGTTCTACACGGACGTACCATCCCTCGTGCTCGACCCGCCCCACGAACATCTCTCCGCCCGCCACATCGGCGAAGGATCCTACCGCTCGCTCAAATGCAAGAACAGCGCAGTCAAGTTCCTCGTTCCGCGTCTGCCTCTCCAGTCGCTTCGCACGGTTGTGGTCACGGTGCCCGCGATGAAGCGCTTCGACAGGCCGGACGGGGGCTGGGTAGCGAAGCTTGGCGCTGCGCACGAGACGCGCCAGTTATCCGTGTACTACGTGCACGCGCTTGCGCTCATGGACGATCTCACCAGGAAAGACGCGAACGGCGGCTTCTCGCTCTTCCCCCGCCTCGAGGCGCTGGTCTTCCATCATGATCCCAAGACTGTCAAGACAGGCGCTCAGTCCTCACTCGACCTCGTACTTCTTGAGCTCCTCTCTATACGACTTGAGCAGGGCTTGCCGATACGAAGCCTTGCGGTTGATAGTAAGATGGAGACGATGTCTGTTTGGTCCAAGATCGGGAGGGAGACGACGGTGTCCTTCTTTGGACCTCAGTGAGTGTGTGTGTTACTGTAGCTGCGTGCCGAGCGACCCTGCATCCTGTATACTGCATATTTCTTATGTAAATTCTCGCCCCCTTCTCTCCCCCTTGTAATATACCCTACTTATCGTAGGTTCTTTGCTCCGTAGACCTTGCAGCCGTCGGCGCCAACTTCGGTGTGGCCGGCCCGACAACCGATGTTCGTCGCGAAACCTCAGATGAATTGGATGGGTTGCACTCAACTACCATGTTCAGCGGGGACATCGAGCAGGGCTCGCACAAACAGCAGGCAGAGTGAGCTACGCAATGCACGCTACCACTAACATATCCTGATATGCTCGTCAGGGATGCATGGTCCACGTTCGTTGGGACTCGTTTCGACACAGGCGGCGATCTAGGGCGCCCAGGACGCGCCGTTCGACGTTCACAACTGGAGGCCGAGTTCGAAACCATGCAGACTTACTTCACGGTTGCAAAGCGGCGCATGAATGCGTGTACTAGTGCAGGAGGTCTGCCGCCGGAGATTCTGTCGACCATCTTCTCGTTCGTGCAGGAGGTCTGGCCACCGACCTGTACGCACCATTACGACAATTGGCAAGACTGTGAAGGACCCCCGGATCGTATCAATTATGGCTTGGGGTGGATATACGTGTCGCACGTGTGTTCTAAGTGGAGGAAGGTGCCTAAGATCTGGCCGATATCGCGCCACACCATAGAGCTGATGGATGGACGCAGGTTGCTCTTGGTGCTCCGACGCTCTGGCAGACTATCGAGTGCTGCAACATACCTCCATCAATGGCAACAGAGATACTTCTACGATCCTCTCGCCTTCCTCTGAAGCTCTATATCGAGTCAGACAACAGACTAGACAACAATCTCATCGATGACTGGCTGTCATGGCCTATTCTCCGTCGCACATCCGTCTTACACATTGGTGATAATGAGCGCCATTGGCGGACCTCGGGTTATGAACGATGGTTTCCGACTCTGGTCTACTCTATGCCCATTCTGGAATCTCTGTGGCTTTCGTTCGATCTGTATGGTCGTGCGGCCCGCTTACCTGACGGCCTCTGGACCGAAACTCAGCCCGCCCTCAAGACGATGTATTTGTTCAATTGCCTCCTTCCGGACTGGAACACCCAAGTACTTGGCGGACATATTACTAGCCTGACCATCCACATCCGCTACTCAGACCAAGAGAAGAAACCGATCTTCCAACTGCGACAGAATTGCGTAGCGTATTCTCCCGTCTGGCGTCACTCGAATTGCTCTCTCTTTCCAACTTCTGGCCGAGACCGACTCGCTCTCCAATCGACCCCATCACACTATCTTCGACCCTTCAAGCATTCAGCTTCGCATCTGAGATTATGGAAACGGGCATGCTCCGGACGCACTACTGCCCCTTTTGGGCTCAGTTCAGGATTCCAGCTACTACTGCCTTGTCTGTCGAGTGTTTTCATTGGATGGAGCATGACTATGATTTCTCTTTGCTCATAGAACCATTCCTCCAGGTGGATAGTGCGGTCACACCAGCGCTGGAACTAGTTCTAGACTACGATACCATCAAGTTATCCTACGTCGAGGATCTATCCAGCGTGCCCATACCTCCCAAAGCACGCATCCCCTACCGAGGCCAAGGGCATCGAACTCGGTATAGCCGCCTACTCCATTGTACCAACCACGACTTCATCAGACACTTCTCCGCTCACCTCCCTCTGCCGCTCAACTCCCTCAGAAGTATCTCTGTCACAGTGGATGCGATGACTGGTCTTTGCATGCCTGGGGCGAACGGAGGCTGGCCGGGCAAGCTTGGCCACGCACGAAACGTTCGCCGTTTGTCTGTGTACTATGTGCACAGCCTGTTGCTTCTTGACGACCTCACCAAGAAGGACGCAGCTGGCCGCTTCTCGCTTTTCCCTCTCCTTGACACGCTGGTCTTTCACTCGGATATCAATGTCAGGACCTCAACTCCAAGTGCACTGCACGTCTTCCTCCTCGAGCTATTCGCTGTTCGTCACGAGAATAACGCGCCGATCAAGGAGCTTCTAGTGGACTGGAGGCTGGCGTCGGTACCCGTCTGGACCAGGATACAGAGCATGGCAAAAGTATCATTCTTCGAGCCCTGAGTGCACGCCACGGTCCTCTCTTAGACGATGCATACGACCCATACGAATTCCGCATTGCACGTCGCCCACACCCTACCCCATCGTTTACGGAGTTTCAGCATGCGCCCGCCGAGTCAGATGCACCTGATCGCGCTTCCCACCCGGGCCAACTAGCCTCCTATCAGGTGGGCCTGATTCCAGGCTAGTTAGCCCACCTCGGCTTTCGTGCCACACAACTGCAGAGTGCAGCTGCTGCCACAGCAGCTATCCTGCGCTAAGTCGCCGGCTCACGCGAGGCCTCGGCGCCAACAGGGCCTTGATGGCGCTCCCACACGCCGAACACCGCCCGCCTGTCGCGCACGCCAGACGCCGCTCTCCGCTCCCACCCGCTCGTCGTCAAGGGGGCGCCCGCCACTGTTATCCCGCCGCCATACCCGCCCCTCCGCCCATCCTCTCTTTGTAGGGCGCTTGCTGTCGAGGCGGATGGGCCGGCGCGTCTGCGTCATCGTCCTGATGGCGTCATGAGCGCGCGCCGGCCGCCGTGCCTCGTGTGAGTGCCCACGCGCGGTGGTCGCGGCGCGGCGCGTCGCCGTCGTCCACGTCGGCGTGCTCGTGTAGCTCCTCTTCCTCTTTTTTTCTCCCCGTATTATGCTTCACGCACATCTGAGAGGTAGTCCTGTAGTATCTCAGTGACGTAGCAGTGTTATTATACGGATATCATGATGAATACTAGATGATCTCCTGTGCTACTGTGTGGCATAGGTGATGCGAGCTCGCTATACGCATGCTGGAGCCGCAGTCGTGCCCAGAATTGACAGCTGTATGAATGATAAACAGGCTCTAGTGAAACCTTTATCCTGTGTGCACCAGAGGTACAAGTGTACGATCGAGATGACCACGTTCGGTGAGTGGGTTTGTCGTAGCCTTCTTCTGTTTACAAGCCACAATATGCGCCAGGAAAAGGGAACTACTAGCATATCCATATGTGTATGACACTCCTCAGATAAAATGGAGGCGATACGTAGGTTGGTGGAGGCCGGGGATGGGTGGAAGGGCGCCAAGCTAGCATAAGTGACCACGCACGCGAGCCGCCCTTCGTTGAAAGCCTGCCACTTCCGCGGCGTTATGTCGTTGAAATACCGATAGAATATTATCCCCTTCCTCTCACCCCCATCTGTTACCTGTCAAGGAGTTTTAAACGAGGCCCCTCGATGCTGTGAGAGAGCTATGCTCAAGTTATCTGTTATAAAGTATACAGGACAAGCTCTCAGTATGCAGGGCTTGCTGAACACTGCTTGCTGTCTGTATAGTTAGATAGTGTTCTCGGCATAAAAGTGCTATACTTTGTATACGTGTAGATATGCGTAGTATGACTATACGTTTTCAGAAGCTCCCCGCGCGTCGAAGCCAGGAGAGTACAGGTTTATTCATGTTTCTTACCTAGTAGTAATCTCGAGCGCATTCACATAGTAATAGCGGCACGTATAATATTCGAAGCCTCCTACTACATGTGTAGTATTATACAATGGCTCTATGATTTCATTCAGATGGAGGGGGGGCTACACGAGCACGCCGACGTGGACGACGGCGACGCGCCGCGCCGCGACCACCGCGCGTGGGCACTCACACGAGGCACGGCGGCC